TTTGGGTAAAGCTGAAAGTTCCTCTGGCTGTTGAACTAGGGGCAGGTTCCCAGGATGACATCCCAGAGAAAATCTAACCTAAAATTATGCAGGAGTCTTATATTGGAAAGCATTAAATAGCAGGATAAGACTCTGGACTTGATATCACTATCAAATAGGCCACTAAAATTTCCACCAGTGAAATTACAAGAACAAAACAATAATTTGGGAGGAAGTATGGGCAAATTACCTCCATAAGTTTCCATTTTTTATATTCTACAATGAGGAGTGATAATGCCTGCCTCATTGGGTAGTTGTTTCTGGAATTAAATATTGATTTTAAAATTTAGTGTCTACTGGTTCACGCAAGAAAAAAAATGTAACAGCAACTCCAATGATTTGAATCTGAACAATAAGGAATAAATATTATGCCATTAACAAATAAAGTGGGCCTCCCTGGTGGCCTAGGGGTTAAGTCTTGGTGCTGCCACCTCAATGGCCTAAGTTCCATCCCCCTCCAGGGCACTGACCCTTGTGGCACAGCAGACCTCTGCTGTCTCCCCGCTGCTCCCCTCAGCAGTGGATTTCAGTGGATCCGCCTGTTATTTTCCCCACTCTATCTCTGGTGAATCCTCTCATCCCCTGCACCTCTGGCCTATACCCCCATTCTATAAAAAAAAAAAATAATAATAATAATAATTAAAAAAAAGTGAACTACACAAAAATGAGAGAAATAAGAACAATGGCAAGAGAAAAAAGAAGAGAAAGATGTGGACAAGGGAGAATGAGCAGGAATGAAACAACAAAGGGGAGAAACGGAAACGGGGTGGGAAGGGCATAGAGAAAAAAGTAAATATATGACGGCAACGGGCCATTTCATAGGGAAATGATAAGTTCAAATTTAATATGGCTTCAGATGATGGCCGTGTGTCAAAACTAAGTGTGTAAGTGATATTTATGAGACTACAGATCCGAGGATCATCTCTGGGCATAAAGATGTGAAAGTCATCCTTATCATAGGGGTGAGCCATGAAAATAAGGGATTTTAGAGGGAGAGGCTGTAACAGTGAAAGGAACAGAAAAGAAGTGAGGGAAGAGAGAGGTGGGTGCAGGGAAGCAGCTAGGGACAAAGGATAACTCCTACCACCTGCTTAAGGATGTCCAAGACGAAGATCTGTGGTTTTGTTTTTGTTTTTGTTTTCTTTGTTTTGTTTCTGCTTTTAAACACTATGGAGAAGTCGAGGGATTCAGGGGCCAATGAGATGCTCGTGATCTAAGAAAGTGCAGCTTCTGCAGTGTAATGAGTTCACAGCAAACCTCAATGAATTACAGTTGAAATGGACCTGAGAAAAATGTGAAAAGTAGTAGGTGGCCATCTTTGGAGCAGTTAAACCATTACAGAAAAAAATGGGTTTGAATAAAAAGATAACGTTTGTCGTCCATGAATTTGAAAGTAAAAATATCAAGAATGAGAGCAGGACATTTGGGGGGCAAAAATAATGGAAATGGTCGAAAATGAGGCAGTACAGCTATGAGAGATGGCTGGAGGATAGGTGACTGATGAGGTGACTTTTTTGAAGGAGACAGGAAGGAGATAAAGAAATTACAATTGGGGGAGCAGAAAAGGTGCTTCTAGACTCAGTGGAAATACGAAGAAGAATGGCACGGTGCTAGCTCTGAGAGGCCCGCCCGAGACCAGACAAGGTGAAGGGATGTTTCCTATGTTAGTGTGTGATGTTAAAAATCTAGGTTTTGTTACTGAATTACTAAGAGAAAGAACTTCTGGCCTTTCTGGACCAAGTGTAAAGCAAACTTCTTTATTAAAGAAGTAAGAAAATACAACAAAAATTTTAAAAGAATCCTCAACATGGAGACTAGTTCCTATACTATGATTACTCTAACAACAGAAATCTCATAGTTGGGTTATTGATTGCCTTCATCCAAAAAGAGGTCTAAGTTTCCAGGAAGGTAGGTTGTATTAAAAGGAAATTACATTGTTTAAAAATGAACAGTGATGGAAAAAATATGTAAATATTTTTAAAAAATTAAGGAAATTATGTCCTGAGAATCTGTCCCAAATACTCTCCAAGAAGATAGAATCAATAAAATGCACTTGCAAATATTCCCGGGAGAAAAACAGGATGTTTTGAAGTAAAGTATCTAAATTTCTCATTTACTGTCCAATATCAGTGGAATATATCATGGTAGTTCAACCATAAATCAAATAAATCTGCCTATATTGGTCAAACTCTTTTTTTCTATCTTATAGAAAAGACATAAAATCATCTTTTAAAGGAAAGAACATCCTTTTTTTCAGTCAGCAACTCCTAATTACCATAACATTAATTTATACCATAAAAAATGTTCTGCTTTTTTCCAGCAAGGCAACTGTAAGATTATAGACTTTGCACTGTGGATTGCAAACTGGGTATATACTTGACACTGTTTCATTGTAGTGCTTATACACTGAAGGAGGTGAAGCTAATTGATAATTTGCATCATATAAATGTTTCAACCAGTTTAGTCAGTCACTGGGTAGTTTTGTATCCAAAAGTGGGAGTAGATATTTAAAAAGGAGGAACTTAACATTGGTAGTGTGATCCTTTACCTAATAAGCATGAATTTTTTTGCAATCATTTCATAAGTAAATTATTTAGCTGTTATTGAAATTGAGAATTGTTTTTTAACTTTTTTTCTACTATAATCAGATAAATAATAATAAATAAAACAAACTAATTTGTCACAAAGACATACAGGGTTGCATGTATCATGTTAATGATTTCATTGCAAAGGTTAATATGATTTTATATGTCAAAGTTTTTGGATATTCTTATTGAGTCTTAAAGGAAGTCTTTGTGACGTGAAAGAAATAGAGCATTGCATTAGGCTTGATATCTAATTCTCCAGAATTGGGATCAAATATTTCAAAATAATGCATGTGCTATATTTAATCATTCAGTATAGACGAACACATGCACGTGACTATCGCTTTGCTTTGAGCCTTATGATAATTCTGGTTCTGCTGACCCTGCCAGCCATGGAGTCCTAGGGGTGTTTTTGTTCAGGGTAAACTGGCTACCACTGCTTTCTGCTGTGTCCTCTTACATGGGTTTCCAGAACACACGGAGCAGAGTCCAGAGCTGTTTAACTCTCTGACATGAAAGAATAAGAAACCACTACAGAAGAATCCTAATCGAGCCAGGGAGAGAGAAGTGTGGACCCCCCAGACTTGGTTTCCTTCCGGTGATGCGGTTTCCTGGCCGCTTCCATAGTCACCCCACCTACTCCTGTGAAGCAGGGTGAAGGTTTCGGGATCACAGCCACAAAATTTAAATAGCTGAACATACTGCTTAAAGCAGTAGGGCCTAAAATTGAACATTTAGTGAATCATTATTGGAGAGAAAACAAATCCAGAATAAATTAAACATTCTAAATATTTAGATACCGAAAATCTTAAGTCATAACTTCCAGGAAGTTAGCATAGCATTTTTGCTGATCCCTTTAAATGACGTTAGTGAAGTTAAAAAAAAAAAAAAATCTTGTGAAATGCAATAATTGTTATCCCAATATTAATTGAGTACATTTTATAGTGAATAATTTCTGGCAAAATTATGAAAAACGGGGTGATAATTTGATTTTTGGGTGAGAAATTCCTTTTTTTTCCACTCATGATTCTAGTGTTCATGTATTTATTGCTATCATTGGTTAGCTGCTTTTTCTCATAATCAAGATTATAACTTTGTATCATGTAATTTTAACTCGAACCCCTTATTTAAATTAGAATTATGGCATTGTTCACTGTGTTTATCTATTCTCTGCTTGTGAAATATAGATTTAAACTAATGAAGCGAAAGATTACAATATAAGAGAAGCATACAGTATGTCAGCAGTTTCTTATTGCATAAAAATTTATTGAAGCAGCAAGTCAGTTTAATTTTGAAAGACCCCTCCATTTTCCTTCCTATCAGTTGGTGTGGGATGAGGTTATTATTAAATTAAAAATATTTAAATTAATTTCAACATTAAAAATACTTGACAAAGATTCCCAGTACACAAAAGTAAATACCAACAATCAAGATAAATCTGGAGACAATTTCTGAACTAGAAGTTTAGCAAGAAATATTAGAGTATTTTACCAGTTAATGCCTGACAGTCTTATATATGTAAATCTTTATTTCAAGGGCATCTTCCTGTACTTGGTTAATATCGTTCTTTCTCTTGTTTGTGCCTTTTTACATTGTAATGTTTCTTTTCTCAATTTATTGATTTAAAAAATATTTAATAAAAGTTGTGATGATTTTCTGAAATGTATTTTACTTTTCTGACTTATGACCCCTGATCTTTGAGAACAGATTAATCCTAATTAACTCAATGGGTGGGATTGCTATTTTTATAGAAAATTTTATTTTTATACCAAATTTTATACCAAATAGAGGAAGAAACTAATGAGACTAAGTCACAACTTTTCCACTATTCACCACTTTGTATTATCTAATATTACACAAATGTCTCTGACTATACCTAGACGTTATTGAAGGGGAACCACTAAGCAAGTAAATCTTTCCAGCTCTCTGCTAAAGGGTGTTAGGCCTGGTGCAGTTAATAATCCAATGCAATTGTAATCAACAAGTTTGCTCTCTTAACAAATCTTTCCTTAGCAGACTAACGAAGTTGCAAGGTCAGGCAGCCGGCCAAGTTGGTCTGTCTTTTTAAGACAATCCCCGGATGTCTGTGTTTTTTTGCTTTTTCCCAGCCCCATGTTTAGGAACTTTGCAGCAAATTATGTTATCAGTGTAGGGATAGTTATGTGTAAAAGAAATTCTTTGTCTTTAAACAGGTGCTCAGACCTTACGGGACTACCCAGGTCTGGGACCTCATGCATGCGTAATAAAGCTTTTCCTGACCTCACCATACCTCAAGTACCACTTGTTCTTCTTCTGTCTGGGTAAAAAGTAGAATTCATTTCTACAACATTATGAATATCAACATTTGCTGATGTTTGTGTCTCTGTTCTGTTACAGAAGTGGCTAACCATCGCACTGAGTGACTGGACCTATTGGACAAGATGGTAAGTGAAATGCAAAGTGACTAGCACTTGATATCTGCTCAATAATACTTTGTAAATGTGTAAGATTCCAAAGATGAGGGGGAAAGTTAAGATACTAACCTTACAAGTGACTGCTGGGATTGAGGCCCCTTCTTGGAAAGTCTGGAGATAGAATTGGAAGTAGACCGAGTCACACTTTTAATGACCAATTGCTTATTATCTAAAGATAATAGAAATGGTTTAAAGATTTTATGTAAGGAGTTACATTTTCAAATCTCTTTTGAATGATAATAATCAGGAAAACCAGTAGGTCATTGTTTAATTACACAGTGGGGAATTATTAATCTAACGAGTTTATGGGACATTCACACACAGCATCCCATATTCAGTTAAACATATGTTGATATGAAATTTAGGGAACTAATTGTGATTGGAGAAACAGTTGTGTGGGCTGTTTGTATAGTGATTCTTGCTATGTGAGAGGTTTTTCTAGGTTTTTCTAGAGATAACAATTAGGGTAAAATGTAAAGGGAGAAATAGGGGAATAGTAAGACTATTAAAGAGAAAAACTTAGCAAGCAGAACCAAGAGAAAAATTAGTGATGTATAGAGGTAGAAGAGGAAGCCTGAACGCTACATCTCCCTATCCATCCATCCAACTATCTATCTATCCAACTGTCTACATAGACATCTATCTCTTGGTTATATTTCTTTAGAGAACCCTTATATAGTAGCAAATGGTGTAGTTTCAAAAAGAAAACAACGGTCAGTGGGTGGAATGCTCTAGATAACCAAAAAGCATGAAAATGGATCTAAGAATGAATTATGTTTTCACACTGACGTCAGTTGTGTCCTATGAAAGAACACTTTCACAGGAATTGCATGCAATACAATCTATTTTTAAGTCTGTTGAGAATTTTCAAGATGTGAAGAAGGTAATTCAAAGCATATGGAAAGCTCTTGGAAGAAATTTAGTAGTGAGGAAAAGGGAAGAAATATAAGAAAATCAAAAGGACTGATGATATGTATTAGTGTTGAAACTGATCAACTAAGATGATGGAAAAGGAGAGGAAGGAATTGTATGGTGAAGACAGGTAGACACAATAGTCTGTATCACAATACAACATTTGCATGGTCTATCAAAAGCTTAGTTTAAAAACTGTCTCTCTGTATGGCATGGACTAGAAAGATATAGCTACAAATACTCAGAATATTTTTTTGTCTCTTGTTATTTTACATTTCTTATTTGTACTTAAATCATGTTTCTAGGATGTGTACAACATAAACAATAGTTTCTAATAAATAATCGAATAGTTCTTGGGAATAAATAAGAATTCAGAATATGGGAGAATATAATGGCAGGGGAAGAGGCCAAATGGCCCTTTAATAAAGCTGATAAAAATTTATAAAGAATAAAAACATTCCATGATGAAGCTTAAATATACAGGTGTGGATGCAGGTGGATTTGTCAATCTGTAGAGAGTTTCATTTTGATGGTCTTCATTTTCACTGGACAGCAGGAAATGAGTATTTAAAGAATGTGGAGAAATTTTGGAGCATAAAGGACTGAATCAGTATCCTCTTGCTATTGATTATTGGAAAAGGCAGGCTGTGGTGACCGTTTACGGGTGACTTGGTGATGGAAAGTCTATGGGGATTATACCTGAGAGGAGAAATCAAGCATTGGACAAAATGAACAACGCTGCAAAAAAAAAAAAAAAATAATATATATATATATATATATAAATAAATAATTAAAAGGCAGGCTAGTGAAAAATGGGGAGATGAGTTTTAATATTTAGTTTACCTATTTGAACATTGGAAAATGACTACATTGGTGAGAATATAGGCGAAAACTTGTAAAATTTCAGATTCTACAGTTTTCCTAAAGGAATTCTTCATGAATAGTGATATTTGATAGGCTTTATTAAGTTAGGAAGATTTTTGTATCAAATTTCCCATGCACCACTATGTACCACTGAATCTTGCTCAGAAAATCAGGAATATTTCAAGTAGATGGCAGAATAAAAAGTCACATGCAAGCAACCCAGTGATATCCACACCTTAATCTGAAAGGACTTTGTGGTCATGTACTAATCAGTAATTCAATGTGTATCCATAGTCTTCTTGACTAACTTTACAAGGCATTAATAATTCTTATTCCATTCGTACAACTGTTAAAAACACATGCAAAAACATAAAATACCCATATTTGTAGGCAAGAAAAGCACATTTTGAAAATAAGGGATGTCTTTCCATCACAGAGGCTGCGGAAAGCTTCATAGGTTGCGTCTCAACCCCTTGTGCCACCACGGACGGAGGCCCCTACAACACTGTTTCATAGAATAAAGTCCTTGCCCTAATTAACTACATTGAATCATTATGTGTGTTATATAATTTGAGCGTGTTTTACTGAAAGTGAAATGGAGAGGGAAAAGTCATGTTTCGATAAAATTTCATTTTCTCAGAATTGTTCACAATGTTTTTTTTTAAAGATTAATTTATTTATGCATACAAGAACTGGGGTGTAAGACAGAGGTGTGGAGGGGTGAGAGAATTCACTAGAGAGTGTGGGGAGCAAAACCGGCAGGTCTACTGATACACGCTGCTGAGGGGAGGAGCGGGCAAGACGGGAGAGGTCTGCTGCGCCGTGTGGGTAGCTCCCTGATGCTGCAGTGGCTGGCCATAGCTAGATAGTTCTGTCTTTAACCCCTGCGCCACCAGGAAGGCCCAGAATTGTTAACGGTGTTATCTGTATGTACAACTAGTCACCAAGGACTACTCTCATGGGGATTATCCAGCTTAATTTGATGCTGAAATATGAAAAATATATGAGATGTTGGAAATACTTTTAGCCTTTCTTGGAGCTGAATTTTTTTCAATTCGTGCTACAAAAACTTTTCTATTCTGTGTCATTTAAATTTCACAGAACCATCATCAATGTCAAAGGCATCCCTTCTTTCCCCACAATTTCTTTGTCTTTCTTAGCATTATATTTTTTTTGTTTTTGAATTTTAGCTCAAGAAAGAAAACAACCACATAGCTATATAACTGCATAAACTATATAACCAGTGCAAATATTTGAATTAAAAAGTGAGTCAGTATATTTGTAAATGTCTTTTAGTTAAGATGTATTTTAAAAAATCTGCATTGTGATTAGGAGGATAAAATGCAAACTCTGCATGTTTCCAAATGCTTTTATTTAAACAGACAAAATATTAGAGCCCATATAATTATTCAAAAATGTAAGTGTCGCAAGGCAACAGGATGAACGGTTTCTCTAGTTTTGTTTCTCTGTATTTTAATTTTCCCTATATTTCAGTAAATTGCATATTCTTACAAAATGTCAGACACACACATGCACACTTGTTGACATTTAGATACCTGTTCCTTGAATTAAGTATATATTTGACATATTGATAGATCGAATACCTACTTTTGCTGTCAATCTTCATTTTTGTACTTGAGTTAAGTAATATCTGAAAGTAATATACAGACCTTTAAATAATCCCACTTATAATTCTGCAGACTTTATAACTCTTTATATATTCACAGAATCCCTTAATGCTCAGTTTTGAATCTGCTGCATTTTTATAAATAAGATTAAATTTTCAAAGGGTAAAAATACTAATAAGCAATAGTTAAATACTGACAATTTACAAATTTAAAATTAACCAAAAAATTTGCATTTTATTTACATGTGTTCAGTCAACTTTGTAGGACATATGACAAATCTATAATTTCCAGATGCACCTATAGAAGAAATGTAAGATTGAACTACAGTCAGGAGTAAGACAGCCAGTTGTACTAGGAGACTGCTAATATTTTTTTAAGATTTATTTATTTATGCATACAAGAACTGGGGTACAGGCTAGAGGTGCAGGGGGTGAGAGGATTCACCAGGACAGAGCGGGGAACAGAACAGGCAGACTGACTGAAATACACTGCTGAGGGGAGCAGTGAGCAGTGAGCGAGTCAGGAGAGGTCTGCTGCGCCATGTGGGTTGCTCCCTGGCTGGGATCGAACTTGTGCTGCAGTGGCTGCGGATAGCTTTGTAGATTACGTCTTAACCCTTTGCACCACCCAGCAGGCCTGGAGACTGCTAATATTAAGAGTTCTCAGGGAGGAACTAAAATGATCCTGTAAAAGGCAAGGCTATGAGACATCTCCTTCTGATTGTACTGTGTCTCTTTGTTGATAGCCAAGAGGTTACATTGCTGAGGACACCTCTTAAATCCAATGATGACTTGTTTCTAAATGAGTCTCTACCATGAAGATGTTTAACTGGCATAAGAGGGTCTGATGGAAGGTTAGGGGACATTAGCCCACTACTAAGTCCAGGAAAGTGGTGAGGTGGGAATATATTAATGGAAAAGGGGTTTTGCAGATTCTGGTTTTAGTCACTGATTCAAGGGTACACGAGTCCTTTAGGGCATTTACAATCTTTAATACACAGACCATCCCCCAGGATATCAATTTGTTGTCTGGTGTTTGATATCTTCCTATATTGTCATGAAAGTAATGTGTCATGAGTGTAAGAAGATAAATACTCTTAATCCGGGTATCCCTGGATGAACATGAGACAGCAACAATACTTACCATGACTTAGCACAAATATCTTAACAAATATCCTAACTCCTATGAGACCTTCCAGTCAGAAGCATTTATTCTCATGTTCTGTCTAGTGATTTCCCATTTACTGGGCAGTCATGCCTGTCCTGGTCTGCGGGTACAAATATGTCTTTATTACCTGATCAAGATTTCCATATATAAGAAGAGACTGTGTTTTACTAATTCTCAGCTCTTCCATTGCCAATCTCTTACATTTTATTTTTCACAAAGGATTACAGTTTTTATTGTTGATATATCCAACAAATAACTTTTAAGTAATAAGATATTCTTTATGCAATACCTTCAATTTTAAACTTTTGGGAATTTAGCAATTGAGAGAATTAAGACATATGCAATAACCTAACATTTGATAAACACATAACCAACAATAGCTGATTTCACAGTTATTGT